GAATGTATATGTACCTCCATACATACCACAAAATCCACCCATTGCTAAGAATATAATTTCATGGATTTTAACAAATTTAGAGTTGCATAACCACCATCCAATTTTAGAACACTTCCACCACCCCTGTGTCATTGTGTCCCCACTGCTCCCACCTACACAACTCTGGCCCCATCAATTACTCTCTCTCTCTTAAGGAGTCTGCTTTAACTCTTCCTATAGAATTTCCTATGAAACTATGATAAAAGGCTTCTGGGTTTGGTGCACCCTTGGCATGATGTGGTCCATTCACATTACACTCATTTTTCTTTTTGTTTGCTTTTTGCACTTGTTTTGGTATCTCCTTTTGATCACTGAGTAGCAATTTACTCTAAGGATAAGGCGAGTGTGTTCTGTTTATCTGTGGATCTCTGGATTGCTTCCCCTTTTTGTGGCTGCTATGAATTATACTGCTTTGGATGCCCATGTAGCTGTCCTTGTGTGGACTTATGTTTTCATTTCTCTTGGGTACATTTCTTTGTTAAATCGCTTAGTTAGATGGTGAATATCTCAACCTTTTAAAGAAACTGACAAACATGATTATAAGATTTTACAAATTACTTTGTTTATCCAAAGTAAAAGGGATTCCTCCAGTTTCTCCACATCCTAGCCAACACTTGTGACTATCTTTTCCATACAGTTGTCCTTAATATTTGACTGACAGCCTAGCACAGGACCTATCTTGGAGAGTGTTGTATGTGCACATGAGATGAGTGATATGGTGACCAGGTGGGATGCTCTACAGCGAAAGCAGTTATGCCAAACTGGTCACTACTTCTTTCTTTAAAAAAATGTGCGCGTGTGTATGTATACAAGAACTGTGGTACAGGCCAGAGCAGGGGTGGAGAGGGGGGCGGGCTTGGGGAGACAGGGGGGAAGGATTCCCCAGAGACAGAGTGGGAAACAGAACAGACAGACTGACTAAAATACACTGCTGAGGGGAGCAGCAGGAAAGGTCTGCTGTGCCATGTGGGTCAGCTCTCTGGCCAGGGACTGGTGCTGCAGAGAGCTCCTCAGTGCTTTAACCCCTTGCTCTACCAAGGAGGCCCCAGTACTCCTATTTCCTTTTATAACATTTTCTTTTGGGTTGCTCTATCAAGTTTTGAGAGCTGAATATTGAAATCTCTAATGATAAATGATGAATCAATCTTACCAGCTTATGCCCCAGTATCTTGGGGCTCTGTTGTGAGTAGCATTTGCTTACTACTGTTTTATCTTTATGGTATAGTGTTGGAATGCCTCTCTCTGGCTCTAGTGAAGTCTACTAAAGTCTATTTTATTTGACTATTACAGTCAATCCAATTTTTATATCTTTCCCCATTTTTTTGTCCATGTAAGGGGTATCTTTATATACAACATAAAATTAAACTATTGAATAGATCTTGCTTTTCCTGTCCCATCTGACAATCTCTGCATTTTGATTGGGGTGTTAGACAAGTCACATTAATACAATTATCAGTGAGTGAATTTACATTTATCATTGTTATTTTTTCCTTTTGCCTCCCTCACTAATTGCCTTCTTCTGTGTTAAGTATTTTTTAGAAAACCTCTAAATTCTCTTGTTGATCTCTTTGTTTTTTTCCTTTCATATAAAGTTAATGTTTTAATAACTGCTCTAGGGATTACAATCATCTTAATTTATCACAATTACTTTAAATTATTACTAATGATCTAATATTAATCCAACCCAGTTTCATTTTTCCTCTTTTTTTTTTTTGCCATCACTGTCACATATATCCTTATCGAGATATGCTACAAACAAAAAAGATTGTAGCATGCCTTTCGTGAATTTCCTGAAATCTAAAAGGGCTGTATTTGTCAATTCTGCCCTGTATTAGGTGACACTTAACACCTTAAGTAATGTTATGTGTTTTAGGTTAAAAGAAATAAAAGATACCAAGTCTTTTTTATGTAACCCACACATGTACCATTCCATTCAAAGCGCCTGTTATCTCTTGTGTTTATCAGCACATTACTTCCTTTCAACCAGAACTAGCAGATTTGCCAGTAATGGATTCTCTGTCTCTGTATACCTAAAAATGTCTTTTTCTTACATTTCTGAAAGACAGTTTCATTGGATATAGAATTCTAGGTTGAGTTTTCTTCTTTGAGGACTTTTTCTGGTTTCACGTCTTAAACAGAAATAGCCATTCATGACATCAATGTTTCCAGCATGTGCGGACATCTTTTCTCTTGCTGTTTTCAAGGTTTTCTTTGACTTACAACAGTGACCTATCCCAGTATCTGTGATGAAATTATGCTACTTGACAAGGTTTAGTAGGCTTCTTACATGAGCTTCTCAACATGCTTTTGACCATTATTTCTTTAGATAGCTATGCTGTTACACCATACCCACCATTAACTATCTATAAGCCGTCCCTACTTGCTGTCTCTGAGATGGGCACCTTGAATAACAAGGCCATATGCCTGCATATGCCAAGCAGGTTCTCTTCACCAGTAGAGTGATGAGAGGATGTGGGAGCTACAGGCCAAATCATACATTCTCACTGTTTTCACTGAAGCATTAATATTTCACAAATGAGCATGGGGGTACTTTCGTTTCCTGACTTACAGCTACAGGAGCTATATGCCTTTGTGGAAATGCATCAGTGGCATACCTTGTATCCCACATTGTGTATTCTACATCTCTATTAGAAGAGAGAATGAAATCCTCTCAGCACAAGAATTTGAAACAGCATGTTCAAGTTACAAGACCTAGTGAGCCTAAAGACCATAGTACACCAGCAAGACTCAACTGTAAGTTGTTTTTTATCTGCTCCCATGGGGGTCCACACCAACCTAGAAGTTCACAAAGTAACCACCATACATGATAGGGGATATTTCCCCAGATGTCCCAAGACAGGAGCTGTCATTGATAATTCTAACACAGAAATTGCCACCCATTCATTCCGGAACAGATTACAGCTTGAGGATAGCTTTGTCCAACCTTAACCTCTCCAATGAACCAGAAAATTTTATGTAAGAATTCTAAACACACATTTAATTCTGAGTGGAGCTAAAGACTGAAGGGCAGCTGCCCGGCTGATTCTGGACACACATCTGTCACCACCCATTTACAAAGACAGACTAAGGTAAGTAAGGGGTGTACATGACCCCACTGCATGCCAGGCTCTCTCCACTCGCACACCATGTCACACATGCCCTTGATGTCTCCAGTCCATGTGCTCGGGTCAATCTCTGGCCCTACTTCATGTGTCACAGAACATCATGCCCGTCAACTTCAAAAAAAGGACATGGAAGTTAGAAGCCAACAGACACAGGGGCAAAGTCTGTTGCCTAAAGGATCCACTGAGTTTTCTTCTTTGAGGACTCTTTCTGGTTTCCCATCTCAAACAGTACCTATTCATGACAAATTGACACCCTGGCTATTGACTACCTGGGCCAAAGATAGTCCTAGGCTTTGGAAACAGAAAGATATGGGTCTGAGGTATAGCTCTGAGTTCCTTCAACATTTATCTTCTCCCTCAGAACTCACTGGCACCCCCCCTGTATGTGAGCATAGTGAATACAGACAAAATGTACCCCAGGAGTCCAGGAGAACAAAGCTGAGTTTCCCAAAGCAGGCTACCTCCTTACTTGAGAGGCTCTGAGGATATGAGTCAAAGGAGGGAAAGGTTACTGAACTTTTAATTTTATTTCTGAAACACTAAGGAAGGCTCTTGCTTTACAGCAGGGACTACAGAAATCAGAGCTGGACAGAAAAGGTCCTTTGTGGTAGCAGGAGCATGGAAGCACATCCACCTGAGAAAATAATTCCCCAATAGGAGGAGGTTAAATGGTCCCTCTTAAGTAAGTTTTAAAAGTTGAGAAACAGCTGGTCAGATGATTTCTGCAGTCCTTAGGATCCCAACAGTCAAGACTGTACAGTGGCCTCTGAATTAGCTGAAACTCACAGGAAGATAAAGAACCTCCCCATTTCTGCACCTGCTGCATCCCACTCTCATCTCAGGCAAAGAGACATGGTGGAGATGTGCAAAGAAGGGGGGGCAGTGAAGGAGATGAGGGACAGACCAGAGGAACTATGAGCTAGTTATGTGCCCACAAAGGGCACTGAGGTCACAGGATAGCTGGGTGTCAACATTCTCCATGAGCAAGGACCTCACCAGAACTCCAAGGGAATGGAGTCCAGTGAGAGCAGGGGCAGTTGTTTAAAACCAAATTTCTCCTTAAGGGAAAAAAAATGGCCCTCCCTGGTGGCACAGCAGGTTAAAGCACAGTACTGCAAGCTGGCCATAGCCGCTTCAGTACAAGTTCGACTCCCGGCCCCGGAGGTGACCCACATGGCACAGCAGACCTCTCCTGTCTCGCCCGCTGCTTTCCTCAGCAGTGTACGTTGTCAATATGCCTGTTCTGCTCCCCACTCTGTGTCTAGTGAATCCTCTCACCACCCCTGCACTTCTGGCCTGTCCAGTTCTGTACGCATAAATTTAAAAAAAAGTGGGGGGGGAGATGATTTTGGGGTGGTATATGGAATTTTACTTCTTCCAAGCACTTTCCTTAATAATCTCACAAAAATGAGTATCCAGAAAGTTACTCTTCAAGAAACAAGTATCAATAAGGAGAGCTACAGAGCAGTCAGAGAAGACCCTGGTGATGTGCTGCCTATGAGGGGCAGTAGCACCTGACACTGTCCCCAACAGTAGGTTTCAGACCCTTGGCCTCTTTGCCTCAGATCTAAGAACAGGGAGCACAAGTAAACAACAACCTCAAGTTTTCCCACAAACCAAACACATCAAGTTGCAGAGACAATAGGTGAGTTTAGTGAAGAGGTTAGGATGTTTCTCCCCTGTGATACCCATATCACAGGGTCACTGATGTCCAGGTATAGGATGGCACGGTTGCTGAGTGAAGGAGATGCTATTTCCATGACAATCCACCAAAAGTTGTTTCCTACAGGCCAGGGGCAGACTATACCCCCAACCCCCACAATGCCTGGCACTCACCTGTGGGAGGTGCGCATGTCCACAGGCCCGTCACCTGTCTGCCCTTCACCTCTACCCGCAGCCACAGCCTCTGGCCCCCTTAGCAGTCCTTGGGATGGGCCTGTACCAGGCTCGGGTGTCACTCTTATATCTCCATCAGCATTTAAATCTGAAGCCAACAATCCTCTCTCCATCTTTATCTTCTTGCTCTCCACATCATCTTCTGCTGGATCCCGGTCAAGCACTCGTTTCTGACTTCGTGTTCGGCATGCTTCTTCAGTCATTCTGAACTTGGAGGGAAGAAAACACTACATTTAAATTTGGCAAAGTGAAGTTGCTACTTTAGAAACTGCTTTGTGTCAGTGTGAAGTGTTTGCCTTGCTACATGACAATGGCAAAAACAGGTACAAGGATGCTTCTCTGCCCTGAGGAAGGCTAGGCAAGAAGCAGGGATGTCTGGGAAGTCAAGCTTTGTGCGACCCCATTCAGGGCCAAGGTCCTAAGTAGGAACAATGCAAGATGGCTGTTTATCAGAAGGAAGGGGAATTCACTGTACTGCAGACTCCAGAACAAACAGGGAAACCCCTGGATCTAAACCTGCTGTTGTGGGACTTGGAGCACTTGTACTTGCTAGAGGTGTCAGGAATGGGGGAGGGGGACCATGCTGTGCAGGAAGAGGGTCACAGGCAGCCCACTCCTGCTCTTACTGACTCAGACTGACCCTTTTCTCCCCTTCCCTGGAGGGCCTCCTCTTTGACTGCTCACCTCAGGGGGTGTGCAGTGAGGGTCACATTTACCCCTCCAGATGCCAGTGAAGTTAAATGAATGGGGTGAGGCCTGGCCCGGTATTGTGCCCCAGTCCTGTACCTGCAGTACACACATATCTCGATTTAAAATAACGAAAGAAGAGGAAAAACAGCTGAGTCAGTTTTTGATGCCATGACATCACTGGGCTCCACATGACCCTTCCCAGGATTCAGTCTGAGAGACAAAGCACTTTCCAGAAAACCAGTCTGAACCGGTTCCAGACAACAAGCTGAAGTGCTGTTAACCCTCACAGAGACAGGAGGGACAGCAGGGATGTCTGTCTGTAGGAGGCGGCTGGCATTCCACGACAGAGTCTGGGACACAGGCCTGCTCTTAAAGGGGCCTCAACGTCACAACAGCAAGACACACAGTCTGTGAAAGGAGGATCTAAAACACCATGGAGTTCATGAAGGACACAACAGAATTCAGAGGCCAGACTGGGAAAACCCCCTAAAAGTGCTACACGTGTCCCTAAGACAGCAGCAGCACGTCCACTTAGTGTCATCAGCTTCTGTTTAGGTCCACACAGAGCCTCGTTGCCTCGCCTGAAGTCCTGTCTTCAAGGAAGCCCACTTTCTAGAGGCAGGGAGTATTTTAGGCAAGGTTAACCATACATGGGAGGTACTCCAGAGCTCACTCTCTGCAGCTTACACAATGGAGCTGACTTCCCTGGGATCAAGAGAGGATCATGAGCCCTGGACTCTTCCCTTGAAGGAAAATGACTGCTACTCCAATGCCCTGGCACTGAGACACCTGCTTATACACGTGGGCCAAAAGGTCATTGAACAAATGGGTCTTCCAAGTTCCTATCCTCTTGAGGTGCCCCTCCACCCCCCACCCCCACCCATTCTCAATTAAAGGCAGTCAGGCTCCACCTTCTGTCTCTTACCTCTCCTCGTACACCCCTCCCCCAACCTCTCCCACCCTCACTTTCATCTACATCTCCCACCCTATTCCACCTCCCAAGTGGGGAGTACGTCCTCATTGTCCCACCTCTCTCTCTCTCTCTCTCTCTCTCTCTCTCTGCCTTAAGATCTCTGGTTTCTATCATTCTCCAACCACACACACCCTGGAAGATTCTATCTATCCAGTCTCCACATGAGGCTGAAGATAAGAATGCCCTCTGCTCCTCCCTATCTGAGGGAGGGGTCATCTTTACAGCCACAAGAAGGAACATCTGAGTGATTCAGCCTCAGACTTAGATTGTAGGTCTCTATACACAAGCCCAGGACAGGGAGGAAGGAACTTGTCTGGAGGCACATGAGGAGAGACTGACCTCAGCAAAGAGGGTCACGGTGGAGTCAAAGGAAATCCCTTCCCTAAAGGTGAAGCTCCTGAACTGCTGGTGCCCACAGGAAGAGAGGTCCCAAGTGGATGGGGGAGAATGCTCAAACCCATATTGCTATACCTCCTCAACCCTACACTCAGATCCCCGTATTTCCCCCACTACTTCTCTACTCCAGAGAGAAACCATAAGCCCTAGGCTCCATTCCATGAGTTCACCTAAACCCAGGCGACAAAATGTGTTTCATATAAAGGGGACCAACCACGAGGTCACAGTGTGTCAGGGACTACAGCAGGCAAGTGGAGCCCAAGTGTTTCATTTCTAGTGGCTGGTGTGGGATTAACAGTTATGAGAGGCCAGAGCAGAGCCTCAACTGCTCTGCCACAAGGCAGTCCACCCCAGCTCTACATGCCCTGTGTGTACAGCAGGAAGCTCACCCTGAAGCTCACCCTGGAACTCTGCCAGCCCAACTCAGAACAACTGTCTGTATCCCCGAGGCAGGTCACTCTGGGGGGCCTGCCTTACTTCTCCTCTACTGTGTGAAGGAAAGCACAGCTGGAGAGTTAAATAGCCATGGGGGCATGCACTGAGGGCTAAGTTCTCCCACTCAGTGAAATCTCCACTGGACTCTGGCTGCTGGCACCCAGTAGGGTCTTACTACTGGCCAATCCCCTGTTGTGGCGCCTGTGTAAGGGAGGGGAGAGGCTGGCAGGAGGGGGCGGTGTGCCCATTATACAGAACAGGAGCCACCTGTTTTAAGGCACAAAACCAGGAAACCCAGCCCAGAGGATTAAGTGTGACTAGAACTTCTGCAGAAAACACTGAGAAGGCGCATCAGGAAACTAAAAGCAGCTGAATGACCCCAACTAAAATCTGCTTCAAAATTTTTGGTGAGAGGGTTGGCATACAAGGGGACTGTACCCTGACAGCAGTAGCTACACAGCCAGCTCTCACATAGCTGGCTACTGTGGTACCAGTGGAAGCAGCGATGGGGGGGGGCTTGGGGGGGGAGTACATAAGTGTCTGCATCATAGAGACACAGATAGAATTCAGAGGGCCTCAGGTTTAATTTTATTTGGGGTTTAAAGAGGTACTAAGTTAGGTTTAACTGTATTTGGAGTTTAAGGAGGAACTAACTCCACTGAGTAGATGATTATGGCCCAGGTCACGCTCAGCTTCAGACAGGTTCCAGTCACACTAGTGGCTACTACACAGGTCTAGTACAGATACTGCCTGTGGCCTCAACCTCCCAGGACAATGGAACACCAAGTTCTGGGCAGAATGCTGAAACAAAAGCTACTTTACTATAGTAAAACAACATCAACCAACTGGTCTGAAAACCTCAAGCAGAAGAGTTATTCTGAAACAACTCCAGACCTCTCCTGTCTTGCCTGCTGCTCCCCTTAGCAGTATATTTCAACAGATCCACCTGTTCTGCTCCCCACTCTGTCTCTGGTGAATCCTCTCATCCCCTACACCTCTGACCTATATCCCAGTAATCATATGCATAAGTAAATAAAAATTTTTTTTTAATGAGCCAGGAAGTAGGAAGACGGGTCCTAAGTGTGAAAAAACCTGAGTGAGTGAAGTGCAGTTGGGGTGGGGGGCCCTGACTTGTTCTAAATGGGGTTCTGAATGGGATGGGGGAGAGCCAGAGGGTTGGGTTTGGTCAAGGGCTTCTGCTGCAGCTGGGTGGACAGGGGGCAGAGCAGTGGGAGACTGCTCTAGAAGGAGCTAACACCAAAAGTTTTAAGCTGAGTTTTAAACATCAAAATGTCACTGAAGCAAGTATAGGGATGCAATTTACAGTGAGAAATAGAAAAATAATCCCAATAGTCAGTTTCCACCACGACTAAGACATGGCAACAACAAAGGCCATTCTTGCTGATGGGGTGAGGGAGCTGGCCACACTAATTCTGTTTTTCCACCCACAGCTCATATGTGAAGCAAAACACAATGATGTTAGAAACACCTTGAATGAGAAAATCTAGTTGTAGAATAGTCTACTGTTTGTTGGTTTAAAATGCTTATAATCTCCGGGGCGGGGGGGAGGGGAATGCTCTAAGTTTACTAAATTGAAGTTAAAATAATCACTTTCTGTATTAAACACTTTTGAATTAAATTATTTCTCTTAATGGTGACTTTTTATTAAGTCTTTATATAACACTTTAACTGCTGGATAGAGCTGAGAGCTGTAAAGACAAATGTCATAAGGACATGAAACTGTTCATCTAACAGGTAGAATCAGTCTCCTGGACTTCCGAGGGTGGAGGGGAGCACTACTGTCTCTTTCCTACTACTAACTGGCAAGTATTTACTTCAGGGCCCTCCCAGGTGGTGCAACAAGTTGAAGCACAGCACTATGAAGCTATCCACAGTCACTGCAGCACCTAGTTCAATCCCCAGCCAGGGAGGTGACCCACACGGTGCAGCAGACCTCTCCTGATCCAGTGTATTTCAGTCAATCTGCCCATTCTGTTCACCACTCTGTCTCTGGTGAATCCTCTCACTCCCTTTACCTCTGACTTATACCCCAGTTCTGTATGTACAAATAAATAAAAAATATATGTGTGTGTATGTATATGTACATGTACATATGTATACACACACACACCTCAGTATCACTTATGGCTACAGCCCTGGAGCTCTGGGCAGTAAACCTAAACCTACAACTCAGTCTAAGGCCTGAGTCGCTATCTATCCCAAATAGCCTACAATGACCACCACCAGCCCAGAGTTGTAAGCGCTCACTCTGACAGGATCTAATTCCAAAGCCACACTACTCACCTGTGCTAAGATCTTGCCTGGCAGCAACTTCTCTTCTCATTTGTTTTTAATTTCCATAGTGTAGCACCCTGAATGGTCTAGTATGTGCTGCTACCTTAAACCCACCTTTCTGTACATTAACCTCATAAATTGTGTGATTCCTCGGGTTGCCCTATAGGATGAAACAACGCAAATGAAGTACTTACATTACAAACTCCTGCTCCTGGCACTCTGTAAGGAGTGTGCTGAGAGGGAGCCTCACAGACTGAGGCCAAGGAGGGACAGGAACAGAAAACAATCCAGGTAGGGAGAAGGAACCATGGGCTCAGTCACTGAGCAGGGATGGCCTTGAGCAGAGGAAGGGAGCCAAGAGTCAATCCTGTACTAAAGAGCTGCTCAAAGGAGAACCAAGTTTACTCCTCTAGGTTTTTA